ACAAAGGTGCACGAGGATCAAAGCCTTACAAAAATGAACGAGTGTATAACATTATTAGAACATGAGATCGAAGCAGGCAAGAAAGCGTTTGAAGAAGTACTTCATGCAGAGATCGTCTCAAGACAAACTCAGAATGAACAAACTTTGGATAAATGTAATGAACTTCACGAGAAGTTGGCTGTTGCCGTGGCAACGTTACAACAGGCGATCTCCGGTGTGACGTCACAGACACAGGAAGCCGTCGAACAAGTAAGGTTTGATAATGAAAATTAAAACATAATGACCCAGTGTAGTTAGGATTCTACAATAAAATAAGCTGTCGTGGTTTGTGTCTGAACTAACTGAAAAAGATATCTCGAACGTGGTGGTCCAGTGTAGATAGTATTCTACAATAAGCTGATACCATGATTATAATCTAGCTATCTTATTATTAATTGTACTTAATAAATATTCATTGTATTTTTTTACAGGCAAGGAACGAAATTTTCGCAATGTTAGACGACTCCAATAACTTGGGAGTTCGAGGTCTAGCTGACTTTGACAGCAGATTAACGAACCTTAATAAACACGTAGCCGAACTAGAGGAGGCCATTGAGAGTCGTCCCCGGCCCCCATCTACCCCTCCTGGTAACATCGTGGAGGGGGTCCCTCCCAGTGAAGACTACGAGAGGTTGAATAGGAAAGTTGATCGTGCTTATAAATGGCAAGAAGGAGCAGAGAAGACGTTGAGGGACATGAATACTAAATTACAACCTCTACACGGCGAGGTATGTCTTTATTCAATTCAATTTATTAACTTTGCCAAAATTCAAATAACATAACACAAAAACTGGCAGGGCAATCGCAACAGCTTGCGCCAATTACTGCGATCCCTAAATGTTAGAAATATATACTATGTAGGTACATAGAAAAATTAAAACAATTCCTAACGAACTATCAGACACTTTTCACATTGCGACCCGCAGGACCACTTCCATTTTCGGAAGCTGACTGAGTCAGATAGTAATGAAATTTTTTGTAAAATTTTGACGTGACATATAGTGAAACCCTCACAATCCTAAACCTTCAGCAAAACTCTGAATAGGCCCCATAGATATCAATGCGAAAAGGTACTTTTGAACTTTGGATTAAAATCTAAAAATATGTGTGAAGCTTTGTTACTTCTGCCTGGGGCGGGTTGTTCAAAGCTGGATTAGCCCTAACCTTCGGTTAAAATTTAACTTGCTGTTTTAGTTTATGTGTTTCTGCACGTCTGTTTATTTCACAACTTCAGAGAAGAAAACTCCTACTGATCCAGACAAGATTTCTAAAAAAATATTTCCAAATTTATGAACAAGCTGTCAGAAAGTTTGTTTTGAATTTTAGGTTAACCCTTTGAACAACCGGTCCCAGGGGGGGAGGGGGTGTTTTCATCCGTGTCTGTCTGTTTCTCTGTCTGTGTGTTTGTCATCACGATGTTTTACGCACCCGTGAGTTCAGCATAGTGCTCTGCATTCAAATTCCAACAATAGTTTGATTTCTAAAGGTTTCAGGTTTTTTTATACACCCGTAGAGCTTTCACTCATTGGCAGTTGTCCAAAAGATGCGCTATCCTCTGAAGCATTTTTGATTCCACCTGTGTACACTAGCATGTATTTGATAACAATTCTTCTCGTTGGCCATCTGCTAACACGTGTAATATGTGTATTTTTTATTAGTTATCGAAATTGAAGGTTGCAATTGAAGATCTTGAAAATGAAATGGAAGCTAGGAGATTGGCACGACTTGCAAGGTATGGCATTTGAACTTTTATTTATACTGGGTATCTCTGGCATCGTCGAAATATTTTTTGTTGTAATTTAATCAAACTGCATACACCTTGTATTACGACTTTAATAGTGTCTATTTTGACCTACAATATAGTCGTGTGCCATCCAGTACTATATTGCATAGGTCAAATCGGCAAAAAATTTATATTTTGATCAGGTGGGATGAAGCCTAAATATGGAAAATTTTATCCCACTTGACTCAGAGTCACAGATCCCACCTAGTGCAAGGTGAGATCTCCTCTAACCGGGCTGGCTCATGTGAACACAAATTTATGATCTGACTCAGGCGAGTTTCCCTGTTGTTAGCTGAGCCCATATGAGAAGGCTCTTATATGATATTTGAAGCATGTTAATACCGTCGAAGCAGACACCTTCCTTAGTACAGACATTTTTTAGTACGAACAGTTTTCAATGTTCCGACGTACATAATTCTTATATATTATCAAAAATGATATCTATCTAAAAGACTACTTTACTGTGCCCCTTTTGTGTTAGTATTAAAAAATTTGACTGTAATAAGAATTATTTTGTTATAGTTTGGGTGATGAAGAAACCCCTGCTAAACCTGAAACGCCCGCGAAACCTGGAACACCCGCAGAAACGCCTGCGCATGATCCAGACCTTGAGAAGAAAGTCCAGAAAGCTGAAGACGAAATTGTCCAGGTACTGATTGTCACTTTATGATATCTCGATAATGGCTACAGTGTGTCAACATCTGTGGGTGATATCGTGAAGTGGGTCTGACAATTGCACCCTGCACCGAAGCCCCATGGTGCGATAATCTAAGATTCTTAGTCGTACCTGACTGTTACTCCAATGGTTATTTTAATCTTTTTCATTGCAGATATCAACTCAGATGGAGAAACTTGAAAACACTGTCAACACATTAAGAACAGTGTTGTCACAGAAAATATCTTCAGAAGCCAAAACCGTAAGTACTCGTTGAGTTGTGTGAATACAATATACCGTTGTGTTTCTTTACTTTGCAATTTTCGGCCATAGACATTTTCGCCTAGAAAAGATTCTCCATTGTGCTGCGCAGATTCGATCTAGTATAGACTTTAGTGCTTATTGCTTTTTTCCCCAATGGTCTCGTTTTCGTGTTTTCGCATGGTTATATACCCATGTTTCTTGCACCAATATGTTAATTTCTCTTTGATCTTGAGCACAATCACAAGCCTATATTGTAGACGATACATAATTCAACCAGCATGGTTGTACAATACTGAGAACGAAACCGATTGTTTGTCCTTGCACTTTCAAACGTCTGAACGGTCTAGTTTTGAAAATGTAACAAGGGTTTAGATTTATTTCAGATGCACATTTAATCCTAAACACCTACATTGAAATCGAAACATACCAACATATGCGAATAAGACTTTTGCACTCTGCCATCATTTGACATCTTTACATTTCATTCATTTGCAAACTTCAAAATATTTGTAATCCTATATGCATGGACACAATCTGCACAAAATATGAATGGGAGGTGGGGGTTCAACCCCATGACCCCCCCCCCCCTTCCACTGCATCATTGCTCAAAGTACGCGTGGATGTGGGGGGTTAACATGCACGAGATTCAATTTTTTATATGTAACCGTTGTTTTTTTGTGGTTGAATGATTGATACACAGAGAAGTAGCAATATTTCGGAACTTAAAGAGCAGTTGAAAGAGATCCAGAAAACGATCGAGGAGGAAGAATCCGAGAATAATAATGATGCGACTGATAATGATGATAAAGAGGAGAATTCTAAGAAAGACGATGAAGACAACGAAAATTCCGGAAAAGATTCCGAGAACAATTCTGGGAATAAAGATCAAGATTCCAATAAAGATGCTGGAGGAGAATCGTAAGATGAATATAATCAGGAAAATGTCTAGAAATTGGAGGTGATCGCTTTAGTTTTCTTTGAAGTAAAACCGAGATGAGTCGTTAAATATTGTTAATCTTCAACGAAATTGTGGATAAAATAAAGTTTCACATAAATGATTAAATGAACTGTCAACGGCCCCAGGCCACTTTGTTAATTCATTATTTTAACAATGTAAATATACAAAAAATTATTTTCATAACATAGCAGCAAATAAATTAGTAAAATGTTTAATTAGTAAAATTTACAGATAAATTAGTAAAGTGTAAAATTAAATTTCAATTTTCATGATACAAAACATGAATAAATCTGAATACTTCGAGTCAGTGAACTTTCCTTATTCATAAACGAAACGGAAGAAATCAACCTAAATGTTGTTAAATTGTTGTATAAATTGCTTGTTAGTAGATAAGGTTTACCAATAAATTGTATACGTGGTATAATTGAACGCATGTATAAATGTAATAAAAATTTAAATGTTCGAGCTTTTTGTAGAGAATAATATGTGGTCTAAGAAATTATTAAATCATACAGAATATTTTTGTTATATAATAACTATATTTGATGAGATTAAAAATATGAAACATAATTTTTAAATAAAGAATATAAAATGTTTTGCCTTTAAACTTTTTGTTGTAATTAGTTTAATAAAAAACAAAATTATTTTTAATGTGAATTATTAAAATAAAAGCCAACGGTACAAAGGGTAAATTTACTGATTAAACTGTGTATGTTTATTATCGTTACTCTGCTACTGTTACAGTTAAACGTAGTTTTATAGAGGAGAAAGTGTCGATTTTAAGATAATCTGTTAGTGTTTTATCCTTCAATGGGCTACTTTCAAGCCTATTTTCCATTCCAACCGTTTTGTCCCGAAATGTAGCTTATTTCTTTGTTTCCTGAACACTCGGTAGAGTGTCTTTTATACCCGTGGGAAAAAACGTCGTGGTACATTCTGTTACGGTTGACTTGGAAAACAGGATCTAGCCGGAGTAAATTAAGCTATAAAAAGTAAACAAATTTAATTACCATGGATAGCTTTATCAACTGTTACTATCGACTCGATTACCGGCCGTATAGGGCCTTGAGTTCGGTCGGTGATATTCCCCTAATGGCAGCTGGTCATCGAGTCCAGTACATAGTCTGGTATTACCACTGCAGAAGAAAACAGGAGTTCCCCGAGAATGCTTGTGGTATTTTATATAATGAAAATGCACTCTTCACACATTCAAGTGAGGCGAAAATTATAATCAGAAACAGCATATTGCATTCATGAATGTCACAAACACTTAATTGTCAGAGTATAATTATTAAGATATTGCCACATGATAAATCCCCAAAACTGATACATCTTTTCATTCACAGGTGGAACAAATGCGAGAAATATTTAGTGGGGACATCGAGAAGATTGTTAACTATTTTCTCAGAGAACAACGGCGTGTGTTTGTTAAACATCGCACTATGGATGCTAAAGTCTACCGTCCAGATTTGACCAAGGACGGTGAACAACAGGCTCATTCCATGCATCTCGCTTTGCTCGGTATCAACAGATGGGGTTTATATGAAGCCTACAGGATGCTCAAGATTAAGCAAGCTTGGTTTAGAGTGGTTGAAAACAAGGACAATAAGCCGACTTCGGACGAGAACTATATGAACTACGATACAAAAGAAAAAGAGTCGGAGAGCGAAGATGAGGAAAAAAGTGACGGAAAAGTGGAAGATAAGGAAAGTGATAAAGAGGAAAGTGGAAAAGATGATGATGATAAGAGTGATGATGAGGAAAAGAGTGATGAAGATGAGAAAGAAAGTGAGGAAGAGGAGAGCGAAGTGGAAGAAAGCGAGGAGGAAGATGAGGACACAGAAGATGAAAGTGAAGATGATGACGAGGAAGAGGACGAAAAAGAAAGTGAAAGTGGAGAGGAAACAGAAGGGGAAAATAAAAAGAAAGACGAGAAACTTCCAGCCAAGCCGCAGGCGAAACCTGAAAGCAAACCACAGGCAAAGCCTGACGGGGCAAGCAAGGCTGGCTCGCCTAGTGATAAAAAGAAATAGTAGTATAGAGCAACGCAAAGATGGCAAATATAGCTAGATGTAAACGGTACGATGCAAGTAGGGACCTTTAGCTAGCAGGACGGCTGTTAATGATAGTGTTGAAAACAATAATAAAGAGTTCCTTACGAGTTATGGACGTCGTCCTTGTTCTGTTTACATCAAATACAAGAGCGAACCAAAGATTTATACGTCTTCTATGCAACGCCGACGTTTCAAATTTGTCGCGAGAAGTGGCACCTAATATCAATTCATACAACAGATAATACACAACAACGTCGCGTTGCAGTCCCACAATCTAAAGGTTCCTAGTATTATCAGCATACACAAGACTGTTAAAATGCACCAACTTTTACGTACTATGTACACTCTATAGGTGGGTTTCACTCAAGACTTATACAATAGGGAAACGCTTGTTGGTCAGCTTTACACATATTGCCGTCTTGTGGATATTGCATATATTTGATACCAAACACAAGATCAATACTTATAATGAATATTTAACTCTATCCGATAAATGCGTTTCCATTTGGAGTTGACCACCAAGCGCTAAACGTATCACGTGACTGAAACCCAGCTATAGACTAAATGAGCTAACGATGTTGAATAACTAACATGCCTAGCTTGCTGAGCAGAACGAAATTTGGGGTTGCGAGCGGCTATACCATGCCCAGTTGAGGTGGGAAACAGGCGGCTTAAACGTCAGTTTACACTTGTACTCCTGCTGCGATATTTAGTGCGATTTTCTTCTTCTGATGGATGTGAACGAATAGATGAGTTACGAATGTTCTGAGTATGTGTTCCCTCATGTGAACATTCATAACTCGTCCACTAAGTTTACAATCCATGAGAAGAAGAAAGTCTTACCAAAAATCGTAGTGTAAATTGGTCTTAAAGATTACGGGAACAACAGCTAGGCAAAGAGTGAACGCTTAAAACAGTTAGGACCACTTTCACATAACAAAACAACGCAAAAATATAGAACAAAGTGTAGATTTATTACTGATGTACATATATTAATGCCATTACATATCATAGTGTGTTATTAATAATCTACTAGGGTTGCACCAGTGTTCAATGTTAGAGAGGTTTAGATTTCACTTCCACTACCGCTACCTCTCACTGACTTAGTACGCATCTGATTGGTTAATCGGATATATTAAAGGCATCTGATTGGTTAATCGAATAGATCAAACGCATTTGATTGGTTAATCGGATATGTCAAACGCATCTGATTGGTTAATCGAATATATCAAACGCGTCTGATTGGTTAATCGGATATAACAAAGGCATCTGATTGGTTAATCGGATATATCAAACGCATCTGATTGGTTAATCGGATATATCAAACGCATCTGATTGGTTAATGGTCCCTTAATGGTGGTGGAAGTCAAATCTGAACCTGTTATCTTTGGGAAAACAGTAGGGGTCGGTTGTTAAACACGATTAGCGATAATCCTAGGTTAGAAAAAACTTCAAATTTAACCCGCCGTATTGGTTTGCGCATTTCTATTGTATAGCTTTAGGCCTGTTTTATACGTCGAATTTTGGTCGCGACAAATGCAATTAAGATAATACTCAATAGATAATGAGATGATAAACCTCATTAAACTTCATTATCTATTGTTTGAATTGCATCCGACGTGACCGAAATTCGACGTATAAAACAGGCCAAAGTGAATAGGAGTAAAACTTTCATTGATTGAGACCCGATTTTTTAAAAAGTATTTCTAAGTTTGTAAACAACTGTTGGGAGACTTGCTTTCATGTTCTACACTGACCTAGGATTCCGCTAATCGACTTTCAAACAACTTGTCCCGGACTGGTATAGTGGATACACGTGTTAAAATATATACATACTGTGTACAGTCAAACTGTAAAATAATTACAATGTAATTTATACACCAAGTTATTTAAAAAATGTAAAATTTGTATATACAAAGGAATTGTAGTAAACAGTTTGAATACATGCATTTTCTTGCTAATAATTTTTTATCAAGTTTGTCATCAAATCAGTAAGCTGTCTGCTGAAATGCTCAGTAGTACTTCTCGCAGCTTGTTAGTCACTGTATCATGTGTGGAATTCCATTGTTCGTTAATGGTCGTGGCTAAAGGGGATGGACTAGAGGCAGGTTTTCAAGATGGCCGCCAGTTTTTAAGATCATTAAAACGTAAAAGAATCGTCAACCAGCCACTTGCAACAATACTAAACCTTACCCCACACCTAACCCTAACCCCCACACTAATACTATAACGCAAACTCTTATTTCAATTTTGGAACCATCTCGTAAACTACCTCTCGTTCATCCCTTTTAGACATTACAGTTCGGTTTCCATAGGGTTTCCAAAACACTATCTCAGGCAGCAGATGGTCAACCTAGTAAAATGAATATAACGCTACCTCTAACCAAAATTTGAAGCCAAAACTTGAAGGCCAGTCCAAGTCTTTTCACGCGTGCAAAGAGCATGGAACATGAATACGAAAAAAAGCTTTTTAACAGCGCTGAAAACTTTCTATTAATGCATTTATCCAGTTTAAACTTCCTTTGAAGTATAAACACGGAGGTCTTGATTTGACTTCAAGAAAAAGATAGGCAGTTTATCTGAAGCTATTAGTTCCAGTTATATTCATTTCACTATAGGTAAACCCAAGTCCCAAGGATGGCAAATCTTCTTTCTTCTTATATCTTCTTATATTATTATAAGATGATTTTATTTTTGACAAAATTTCTTCTTATATCTTCGTATATTATTTTATATCGAAATTGTAAAATCAGTAATATAAAAATGAAGTTGTTTATATAAAAAATATAAAATTGTTAGTTGTTCACCAATAGATTGTGCAGACACTTCAATACTTATATCATACAAGTCACCAAAATGATGTCATATCACGACTCATTTTTGCTTGAATATCGAAAATCGTCTTATATTCCCTTAAATTTTCTTATATTGAATATTAGAATTAAGAAGTTTTTTTCTGAAAAAGATTTCTTATATCCATCCCTGGGTCAACCAGATAATGCAACCTAAATGCTATTAGCCTTCATCTGAATCTGATCCACACAAAAGCGCAAACTTATTTCCTTTCAAGACCTCGGAACTTTTATTCTTTGTCTCCTTTTCTTGTTCCAACGTCCTGCCTCCTTTATTCTGTTGTCTCTCGCTGCTTCGTGATTGGTTGAACTGGCAGTCACGTGGTAAGTCTGTAGTAATTATGTCATAAAGGTGACGATATAAGTTCGTGTTGATCACGATAGATTCGGCAAACTTGATACCTAGAAATTGTCGAGAGGTATAATTTACAAATACTGTGTGTTAATACTAGAATTTACTATCGCAAGGAAAGTGCTGCCTCACCCCCAAGGGATCAAAGGCAGCATGCGCAATTTGCTGAATAAAGGGCTGTTTTTATGATCCCGCTTTGCCAGGATGAGATATGAGGCGGGATGATTTAGATGTATTTAAATAAGTCACGGTGCACACAAACACATGCTGTTAAACTAAACCCACTAATTTCATAGTATACTGGTAGCTAGCTATCAGACAGTTCTAAACTGTTCTCCCTAGAAGTCAAGTAGAGGTAATCTGGAAACCTAAACTATATAACCTTTATATATATACTGGACAGCTCTATAAATTCTGAATTTTTCTTCCTAGAGGTCAAGTAGAGGTTATCTGGAAACCTAAACTAAACTAACCTTATACTGGATAGCTCTATAAGTTCTGAACTTTTCTTCCTAGAGGTTAAGTATACGTCATCTGGAAACCTAAACTAAGCTAACTTTATTTATAGTGGATAGCTCTATCAGTTCTGAACTGTTCTCCCTAGAGGTCCACCTGGAAACCTAAACTAACTTTATTGACACATGAATAAATCACGCAAATTCTTTGTGGCCAAAATGGGTGACGGAAAGTGCGGTTTCTGGAGGTAAAGGCCCCCAGAAAAGCTGGAGAAACAACATCAGGGTGAGAGTAAGGGCCCTATATACTCAATAGTTCTATAACTTCTAATATAATTTTTCTTCTCAGAGGTCAAGTGAAGGCCATCTGGAAACCTAAACTAAACTAACCAGACAAGCTGAAACGTTTTCTTGACCTAGATAGCTCTATCAGTTCTGTCTTAACGGTTCCCCTACCAAATTACTCTTCTTACAAGCAATTAACTAATCATATGCAGCAATATTAACCTGAGACTTGAAGTCTTTCGTACACCAAGCACACTTGAGCACCATCATACAACTTGGCTATTTGCAGTTGTGGAAATGCGGAAGAAAACAACGCGTTCAACCGTTCTACCCAGTACAGAACATTTTGCCATTGTGAAAAACCATGAACTGCCTCTAAGGAAATTTGGAAAGACTTGCTTGTAGTCGAACTCCGTTTTTCACCAACATAATACACTAATAATGCAGCTAGGTGCGCTGGTTTGATTTGGGAGTGAATAACCCAATATCTCAATGCCGATAGCACAATCTGGTGTTTGATTGGGAGATTACGAATAAATGGTAAGTCGGAATCGAGCAAGCTTAGAAGGTGACTATTTTTGGCCTCATCAGACATTTTTGGTATGTCATGAATTTGGAAATCGATTTCAGGGACTTTGCGTGTTAGATTCACTGTTTTCTGAACAAGTCTCAACCCTTCCCTATCAAGTTCTGTAACAACGATATCTTCGGTGGTGGCTTGGGATGTACTATCAGTTTTGTCAAACTTTACATCTTCGATGGTATGGTCAAAGGTTGATAGCAATCCAATTTCCTTGCTTTTCACTGTATTTTCATTGAGATCAAATTTATGGGCAAACTCTAATTCTAGTATGCTATGGGTGTGGTCAGAATCTTTGATTTGTTTGGTATCGCTAGTTGATGGTGTTGTGTCGCAATGGGTAGTTTTGCACTCCTCCTGGGACTCTGATTGGCCAGTCACCGTGTTCGGTATACTATCTTCACCTTGTTCCTGTAATTCTGCTAATGGTGACGAAACACAACACTTAGTTTCCCTCTGTGCCTCAGGTGTTGGCCTGCTTGTATGGGTGTGGTCATAGTCTGTCCCTGGTTCAGTTTGAACAGTAATCATACTTGGTATACCAGCTTTGCCCGATTGGTTCTGTAACATTGTCCCTGACACTGCTAATGGTGATGATGTATCATTGAAACTTTTGGTATCCATATGTGTCTGGGTCTCTGGTGAAAACCCTCGCGTAAGGGTGTGGTCAAAATCTCTGCCCAGTTCAATTTGACCATCAGTTACCATGCTTGCTACACCAGCCTTGCTTTGTGACTGTAACTCTGTTGCTGATACCACTGTACTGGTGGTACCTTCACAGTTCAAAGCCAGCACATAATAGTACCATCTAAGGCCTTGAGCACAAATCTGCGCAGACGGCAATGCTATATCTTCACACTGTGTTCGGAGAAAAATCTTTCTGTTACACAAACAAGCTAAACCCTCAGAGGCAATCAAACCTTGTCGATAAAGTTTAACAACCCATTGTGGCAGAGAATGACCATTATATGTACGCATGTTACAACTAAGATCACTAGAATCAAAATAGCCAATCAAATTGGTTTGTTTCATTTGGTATTCTTCAATGGATAGATCCAACGCTTTCTTAAATGACACCTTAAGGTCATTTGGAAACAAGCCTATCACAGCATTAATTGCTTCTGAAACTGACTTATACCCTGACAAAAACTGTGCGATAGTTGGAACCTTGCACTTTTTGCTGCCAGCTTCTAGCTTTGATGAGCTTACAAGACTGTCAATATGAGCAGTGAATGGCCTTAACATTATATCAGAGATGTAGTCATTTCCAACCAGTGAGGCAAGTAGTGGTGACATGCTAGGGTCGATGCCAAGATGTTTGGCAAACCCATCAAAACTGAATTTTCTAACTGTGGTGTTTGGACCAGAGAAATCATACTGTTGAAATGGAATGTAACCACGTTTGATGTTGAATATGTAAAAATCGCTGTCACTGGCCAACACTGGAGCATCCAGTTTGTTTGCTAACGATGCAATTTCACAGTCCGCTTCACTGAAAATGAAACATTATAAATGGAAAGGAGTGAGGTAAACAATATGATACTGTATATGCTTAAATTAATTAAGACATTTAATTGTGATAATTTGCTCGTATGGCACTGGTATTAAGCTTCACTGAAAATGAAACATTATAAATGGAAAGGAGTGAGGAAAACAATATGATACTGTATATGCTTAAATTAATTAAGACATTTAATTGTGATAATTAGCTCGTACGGCACTGGTATTAAGGCACATTGCCACTTAATAGGTAAATGCAGTGCATATATACACTAAAGGTGTAAGGAATGATTTTACAACCAATATAGCCTTGACTATAGTCTTGTTTGCAAAGTTAACGTTCTTATTACTCCAAACCTTGGTAACAAATGTTCGTCAGCATGACTGTGTATAGGTTGGAACAAATGTTTGTTAACGAGGGTTGGAGGTATAGTTTGGAATGAACATTCATTGGCGAGGGTTGGAGTGATAAGAACGTCTTTGAGGGAGACTAAGCCTCGATAAATTTGCATGAAATGGAAGCAAAAAAGTTTCAAGAACCAGAATTTAGGAAAGGTGGTAATGCGTTGGAAACTTAAATTCACCTCTACTTAAAACCGCCACCAAGTTTTACAATACTTACAAATCTGCCACAGCATATGGCACTTTGATTTCTTGCAAAACTTGCACAATAGCTAACTGTGTGAGGCGTGGAAGCACCATTTCATAACCAGGTTTTCTTAATGTCCACAAGTTCTTCATCTTCTTAATGCGGTCTGTCTTTCTCTTCATGAACGTGGCAAACTTTTTCTCGTCCTTAGCCATAATACCATCAATGACAACGTATGGTACAACATTTTTCAACCGCAGCTTTGAAAAAAATTCCTTTATTTTGTTTTGCAATTGGTCATATTGCCCACCAAACTTAACGTTTAGCCCATTGCAAGCATATATGTAATAATACAAACCGCAGCCGTCAATGACGAGGTTTGTGTCGTGCAAATTGAAGGGTTCCCAAACGTGCCCTTCGCCAAATGGCAAAGTGTCCACATATGTTGTCAGACCATGAATTCCCATTTGAAATTCCTAAAAAATGTTATTTAACGCATTGAGTTGCATTGCATCCTAACGCCTGAAGAGTAAAATCGTCTGGTGTTAGACAGAGTAAAATAATAAAGTAGGGTGCATTGCCACTTAAAGGGTTAACAGGGTACATAGGCAGATTGACTCATCGAGTGGCAGCACTCTCCCCCTGACAAGTAAAATTGTCTGGCATTAGACAAAGTGAAATAATAAAGTAGGGCGCATCTGGGTGCATTGCCACTTAAAGGGTTAATGAATCAAAACATTCAGGAATGCGACCATATTCCTATAAATGTCATGAAATCAACATCTTGGGAATGGTGCCATCTGATTGGTCTGAGACATTATGCTGAGATTATAGACTGATTAGTTGAATGTGAGTATGTGACAACTCGAATTCCTGAATGTTTCATCACAAGGACATGGCACATTAATCGCACTTTACCCACTTCCCATCCAAGGACCCATGCAGGGGCAGGAACTGCCAGTGTGGAAAGTTTGTTTCGCGTGGCGGATATATTTCCGGCGCGCAATTTTGATGCTTTCTATATATTTACTATTAAATTTTCAAGATCTCCGGCACGCAATTTCCAAACTTTCCAGTCTGGGGAAACTGTGACAAATAAGCAAGGTGGGTACATAATGCTGGTCCATAATATGTTAAGGTGGCTAAGCAATCAAGGTTACTGTAACAGTATATAAAATGTATTTTAAAAAATGTATCAATCATATTTGGTAAAGTACATCCTTAATACTATAAAATAAACACTTACTGTACTAGCTGAAAGTTGCAGTTATATTTGTTGCAGTTGACAAATTAGAGTTATTAATCATAAAATAAAACACTTTCGATTGCCGATGCCTGATTTCCGATATACAAATTTCGACCTTGGTTGTTGTGGGTACAAAAACCCGTGGGTGAACTTTATCGTATATACAAACATCAAACATGGCTAGCAAGATGCATGGTGTGAAAAAATGCAGTTCGTCTGTCGAAGTTCTGTCAGTTCTCCGAGATTTCCGTCGCACAAAGAAATTCTGTGACATCACTTTGAAATGTGGTGAGCGTAATTTTTATGCCCATTGTTGTATTTTGGCCGCTGTTAGCCCATTTTATTTAGCCATGTTTCGTAGTGGCATGTCCGAAGTGAACTGTGAATTCAAAACTGTGGACTTAGCCTTTTTATCTGTTAGCCCGTCTGCAGTAAGCGTTGCTCTTGACTATATTTACGGTGAAGTTATAGAAATAAATTTGGAAAACGTTTTTGAATTGCTTGTCATAGCCGATTATATGCTTCTCAATGAGTTAAAAAATGATGTCAGCAATTATCTATGTGAATGCTTATCTGTAGAGAAGCCTGATTTGTGTTTTGAAACCAGGCGTGTTGCAGAATTGTATGGGTGTAAGGGACTTTATGAGGCAACAAACTCTTTTATCAATGCGATGTTTTACCGACTTTCGCACACGTCTGCGTTCTTGGAATTGAGTGTAGCAGAATTGGAATCTTTCCTAGAATCTGACGACCTCTCCACCAATGAGCGTGAACGATTCGAAATCATTTCGAAGTGGGCTGCCAATTCTCGAGAATCCAGAGAGATGGAACTTGGACGATTACTTAATGAGTATATCCGCCGACGGACCCTTTCGCCAAGGGAATGTCGCCAAATGTTTGATCGTTATGAATTATTACCAAATCTTTTTATACTGGATATGTTCGAAGAAAGATTCTTCAGACCAGATAATGTACCCATCAACAAAATGCATCGGTGGGGGCGGCAAGGTCAAGAAGTGATTCTAGTGTTTGACAATGACAAACCACAAGCATATATACCTGGTCTAATTCCCTGGCACCCAATCATGCCCATGCCAGAAACCCATGGAACAATTCAAAGTTGTGATGTTAAACAATTTGGTGTATGTTATTGGCGGGACAACAGGCCAGACAATAAGTTTAACCGTTTGGCGATACTTCCCTTCCCAAAACTTCTGGAAAACTGCCGCACCAATGCTGAAAACGGCAGCAAGTTTTGGTGTAGCTGCATTAGCTGATCGCATATATGCTACAGGGGGTCCGAATGCTAAATACAACATGCAAGTATATGACCCTCTTGAAGATGAATGGTTTTTTGGCAAGCCTATGCAGGTCAAACGAGTATACCATTGTATGGTCACCTTCCAGAATAAATACTTAGTTGCAATTGGAGGAAACATGCCTACCACAGATTCACTATATTCTGTTGAAAAATATGACAGGGAGACAAGAACCTGGACTTATATGCCACAACTAAATATCGGTCGAATCGAGGCAAGTGCAGTAGCACTCGATGACAAGATATATGTTGTTGGTGGTTACAGCGGGTCATCACCTCCCGAGCTCAACAGTTGCGAAGTTTACGACAGTTCAACTAACAAATGGTCGTTAATAGAGCCCACAAACACGCCAAGACGAGATGCCGCAATTACAGTCTACCATGGTAAAGTGTATGTACTTGGAGGAAATCCTAAGAAGGGGTTGCCTAATTTTGAGTACTATTGTGAGGAAACTAAATCTTGGAAGACTGAGGAGTCTGGAAACTTTAGTTCTGGTTGTCAATGTTGTACTGTTACCCTAAGTGGGAAATGCATTTGTGAACTATATGAGCGTTAGGCTTAATTGTTGTTTGATTGGGTTGAGGAAATATATTTAACAAGAAATATCATTTGAAAACTACTAAAGGCAAGGTAGCATGAGAAATATCAGCGGCCGGTTGTATGAAGGCCGGATGGTGCTATTCATCGGATATTGGTTTCTCCAGTTTGAACCATTGTAAAAATGCTTGAAATGCTATAAAACTCAAAATTAATAAAAATAAACTTAATTTATAAATACTAAAGTGTATAATCCAGGTTATACCAATCAACAAACAATTTTAGAAAATTTGAAAAAATCACAATCCAGTGGATCGCATTATTCGGCTTTTGTACAACAGGCCCAGAAAGCCAATTATATCTTATGCCTCACAGTATACCGATTATCAGCTTTTACTGATAAAAATCTTATCAGCTCATCCCTCCCTAAAGGCAGTGAGTGGGGTCCAGTACAATCTGCCAACTTCATCAGCTAACATAAAAGAAATCTATTACCAATAATATATACATTTAATAATCAAATTTTGTTAAACTATTAAACTGTAAACTATATCATATTTTCATTTCATTGCATTCTAAATTATGTACAACAATTTTTAATTGTGTTATGTATGTCATATAAAAAAATCAGAGAGTGTTGAAAATTCAAGAGACTGTCTTCCTGAGACTCTAAAATAAGTCAATGACGATACTCGTTTATTGCTGCACACATATTTTTTTGGGATTTAAGTTGCAGCAACATTTAATGTCCACACCCAATTAGCAATCAATTGATATAAAATAAACTTAATGTTTTCTTGTAAAATTTCTTAGAATGCACATCGCCTTTCCAGGAAAGGACAGCACATAAAAATTTCTCAGTTTTGATAATTTCCAGCCACTATAGAAAATAGACTATAGAAAATTTTATTCTAAAGTAATGTATTTGTATCTAGATTCTAGCTTTTTCAAACATTTGTGTCAGTAGCGTGGACATTGTAACTTCGCCCTCCAGTTGCACACGGACAAAATAATGATAGCCTTTATTGCACACTTCTCGAAGAACTGGCAAACGAAGTAATATTTTTGCAAAACGTCCGGGTTGTTTTTGTTCTCCGTATGCTTTTAGCGTTTCCATGATAATCTGACATTGTCTCTCAACTGCTTCTCGATTCACCAGACCTTCAGTATCTAAAATTAAGGTAAATCGGTCTTTATTTAAATTTGGCAGTCAGAGTGTCTAGACACAGACCCCAAGCAGATTAGCTAGGGAACAATTAGGCTTTCATTTAATGCCGGATGATTTTACTCTGTATAACGCCAGACAATTTTCGTCTCTCTAACGCCAGACAATTTTACTCTCTCTAACGCCAGACAAATTTACTCTTCAATGGGAACATGCTGCCACTCAATGGGTTAAACACCCCAAAAATGAAAGTGTTGTATACCAATCTAAACCTACCACAGTTGAACAACAGAATGGCATTCAAGCAAGCAAATTCACTTTCGTCGATCATGAGCGCTCGCAAGCGCTGAACGACATCCAGCATTCCATCGACCAACTCTTCGCTTAGAAACATATAGCACTCCTCTCTCGACAACACCGTTGGCTGATTCATGTGCAAGCTCTCCCCGTACGGCATCGATCTGTATAAAACTCTGAAAACCTGAAGCTCCATGGCGGCCGATGACAGCAATTTAACTTTATCCTCTTTGATCAACTCGGAAAACCCTGGAACAGCCTTTGCCCAATCAACGATCAGCTTTAGTTCGAGGGAGAGACCGTTCGATAAACGAGTGAGGGGGATATTGATTTCGGGATCTTGCAATGGGGGCCTGAGCAGGTATTCACCCGGAGGTATGATGGCAGGGGACGCGGCTAACAACTGTTGTAAGATTTGTGCTGTATCATGCGGAGTGCTCGGCTCGCTTGAAGGACTTGCTGCTTCTTCTTTTACATACTCTGTTGATGATTGGGGGGAATCTTCCTCGGCTTGTTTTAGGGGGTAAAATGATCTTCCCCCTCTCTGACGATCACCTCGTACACCTTGGAAAGAAATCATTAATGCTACTGAGTTTGCTTTTTCAATGTGCAACCCTTTAAGTTTGTATTTTATTCTGTCTAATGTCAGACAATTTACTTGTCAAGGGGAGAGTTGCCACTCAATGGGTTAATCAGACTATCTGCCCATGCATTGGGTCATTCCAGAAAACATCCACAGAGGAAATTGGGAGTTAACCCCCTACCCCCTTTGGATGTCCTAATACACTTACTATTATCAGAAACAGATTTTTCTCCCCTCCCTCTCTGGACAGCAAAATTGCCTCCATAGGGGGAGTGTGGATCGTTTCTGGAACAACCCATTCGGTTATTAAACTTTAAGTGGCAATGTGCCCTGATGCGCCCTACTTTGTTATTTACCCTGTCTAACACCAGGTTATCTTACTCTGTCTAATGCCAGACGACTTTTCTGTTTAAGGTGAGAGTGCTGCCATTCAATGGGTTAAATGAGTCGAAAGAACAGTGGGGTTTTCAAAACAACGGAAGAAAATGGACATTCCGATCACTGAACTGTGACAGAATGCCACTATATTTTTATGTTAATTAAGTGTAATGCAAACAACCATCAACAATACAAATGTATTGCTTGATTTTACGACGTGTTCACACGTGGAAATCGACCTTGGCAAACAAGAAAATGAAAGCGGAACCACATATAATCCACGTTTCCTGTACGCACCCAGCACTACAGCTGCGAGACAAATTTTAGCTATACAAAATACTACAAAAGCACTCAACCCACTAATGATTTTCAATATTACGCTTAATATACATCCAAACAGCGTTGCTAGCACAAACCGGAATTTCTAAACTGTTATTTTACCACGCAAAAAATACGTAATTCATTCGTCTCTTTCAATTTAAACAACTTGGTCAAGAGTCGCAAAACAACGATCCCATTTATATAGACCATTATAACAGTGACCCAAACGGCTATATCGTCAAAACATGATCGTGTTTTTAGCAAGCAAAAATTCTTCACAATTGTAATATATATATATATACTAAAAACTGCGTGACAAATTGAGATGTTGATATACATTTAATAGAATATATAAACAACATTAATTTGCTACATTGCGATTCGTTCTGTTGAGTATATGATCAGACATGCACCTAGCCTTGGGGTGATCGACGTTAACATCTAAACATGTAGACTTTTAGGTTTATGATCGGCTTTGTTTTGATAAATAAAACCGCTAAAACGTACCTCCAAAAACCATGCCAACGCTTAAGCATTTTTTCAACCTGCAAGCTTGACATTTCGCTCTGGATTCCAGCGTAATTTCACAGCCGTCGTCACCATTTTGGCACTGATATTTCTCAACGAGATTTTTTTGTACTGTTCTCTTGAAGAAGCTCTTGCAGCCCTCGCAAGCGTAGCATCCGTAATGATAGCCTGTCGAAGGGGCTCCACAAACGGCACACAAGTCCTCGTTCTCTGAGCCAGTAGACATTGTGGTTTCGATTTGAAGCTATATTTGTACTGTATCAAAATTTACGAATG